TCTCGACCACATCACTTGCGACGACTCCCAATGAAACCCAGAAAAACGGACAGCTACCTCAAATGAGGTACGCGGATGATACCGCCTTATTGAATGAAACGAACCATGTCAACGGTGGACCAAACTATACATTTACGCACCATAACCACTCTCTGACATCCCCGAATTCGACGTTCTTCACAAACGATTTGGTTTCGGTACCCTATCGGTCATTGGCGAGCTACTGTGACCAGAATTACCTATTGGGGTTCGTGCCAATGCAACTCGAAACGCTGGCTGAGGTGCCAACCCCGGACGCGGCCGATGAACAGCGCGAGATGGCCTCTTACATGCCTAGGTGTCCCAGTCAGTCTTCTACCCATGTGTAATATCAAGCGTGAGACAGCAGTTTATGAACAGGGAGTAAAACGTACGTGTGGCCAATCTTGAATGGGGAATCCATAAGCAGATTTCAACTGTGGCCATTCGACTGACTTGCGATCAAGCAAGATATCGCTTCTGCTGCCTTCGGAACGTCCACAGGGAATTTATACGATTTCGCCAATGTTTCTGATACTAGTTTCGAACGAATATTTAAATTACGTTTGTTTCGGTTGTTTTCTGTAAACTTTGAAAATTTTTATTTGCAGATTCGAAAGTATAACGTACTCTTGTTGTTTTTGTTTTGTTTCATTTCTGCAGTTTTGGAAAGTGAAATGCGAGACTCCGAAAAAGCATTGATCATATGGAATTAAACAAACTTTGTACAATGTGATCAGTATCTTCCTTGCAAAAGTCTTTATAATTTAACTTTACCATTGTTTTACTGGATTCGTTTTGTGCTGAAAATAGAAACAGTGACTAACACGCATAACAGCTATTTCAGGGAACATCGGAAAGCAAAACTACATGTTTTAAATGTTCTGGTACAAATTACCAAAGGGTTTCATATGTTGCCCAATTTCGCCGGTAATTTGGGGGGTTGCTCTTAGCGGCTTGCTCTTGAACACATTTAACAGGTGAATTCCTGACTCTAAAAAATTAGCAGGCACAAAGAACGGTTTTACTACAAAGTTTCAGCGATAACCACTTAGAGAAGGTGGCCGCAGAAACAGATGAAAAAATGCAGAAATCCCAGTGAACAGAGCGACGAGGATTACAACAAGAGCATATGAGTGATTGGGAATGCCTTGAATTCTCTTTGCCGCATATTTCTGTACTTTTGATCGTTTATGCTTTTGATTTTGTCAGACGTTTCGATCTGAGGCATGCTGTGTCAAACATAGGGTTTCTGCCTGCTTCAGGAGGAAGGCGAATAAAACGCAATTCCAGTGACGTACTCTGATCGATATCATGATGGTCATTATTTTCCGGTGATATTCGATCTGTCCTCAACTTTTCAACATTCCTCCTGCGAAGTACGGGTTGCCTTGTGAAACACAACACTGCATCGCAGAGAGAAACATGCCTCAAGGAACGAGGTAGCAGTGGCTGAAACAGATAGTAACTTGCTTTTCTCTTTAGAGATGCTGGCTTTCAATTTCAGCTCTCCAAACACGGAACAAAAATTTATTCCACTAACCGCAAATTCGAGGAACAAGAACTTAAGAATAACAAGAAATAAGATAGATGAATGAATGTGGGATGTAATTGCTAACGTGAAAAAGTCATGTTGGCAATAGGAAGGACATGTTGCGAGGACAACTTGTCATCGCTGGAAAAAAAGACTTACGATTTGGATCCAGAAAGGAAGTCCTCCAGATCGATGGCAGTTCGAGCGGAAGAATTTTGTTAAATAAAAAAGGATGAAAATGGCAAAAAACATAAATCTATGTCAAAGTCTTAAAAAAGCCCTCATCTGGCAGTGAATTGACAACCGATGATGATTAATTGCGAACTGGCCAAAAAAGATACCGTCGTTTCCGCTTTATGCAACCAGCCTAGAAACAAGTAACAGTTGCATAACCCACGAATAGTAGGAGCAACATGGCGTTCTCGCCTGGTCATATCAGAATCTTCGAGAGAAATAGCCATACTGTATGATGCCTTCGCCTCGATCCATCTGGTCAATGACTAATGATTAGTATAAGGAATAGCGGCGAATGCATAGCTAAATAACTGAAATCACATAACCTTTGCTGTTCGACGTCTACGCTGTCTCGTTTTTCAAATGATAACCCACACGACTCTACTACCACTGGCTGATTCCTTTACGTCGAAAGTATCACCGTTGTCAGTTGAGTTTTTGATGAAACGATGACATGCGGAGCTTGACCAATTTCGGTGAAAATTTCATATTTGGAAGCTCTTCCTTGCCATAAAGGAGTTATAACCTTGTGTAAAAGTCATATTTCATCCATCAATAAGTCTAGACGTGTTAATTAATATCTTTACCGTACTTTCCCTCGATTCTGAAGAATATCTGTAAAACGACTCAAATACCTTTCTGTCGCTACATTCTCAGCATTTATATCACAGCTGAAAGAATATAGCAAATAAAGAAAGCAAAGCAAGTATGCTTTGTCTAGCATGTAAAAAAATATGAATACAAGGCTGAGACGCCTGACATTCAGAATATCACGTCTATTCGAGCTTCCGACGAGTGTCACTGCAATTATCATATTTATGACTTTTGTCCAAAATTACATTAGGAATCGCTAGCTGCAGCTAATAAAGGAGATAAGCTGCCTGGCATTTAAATTTGCTTTAATGAAGTGCTTAGAGGTTTCGTCCTGCACTGCAATCAGTGAATGGCTTCCATGAGAGCAAGGTTTTAAACACCTTCCGGTTCTCTTTGTTAGCAGTATTATACCAAGTATCAAGCCATGGGAGGGCATCTGAGTTCTAACACTTTTCTCACACCACTGGTCGTCACTAGCTATTCGTTGTCCACCCAGTGATGCCATGAGGCTTTGAAAATAATACTTCAGGGACAATGTTGTTTACAACTGTTGACACGGCCTTCATGGCAACGGGCCATTTATGATTGTGCCTCAACACCATGAATGCGGCTTCTTTCAGTCGGTGAGCTTCTGCAAAGTTCTCTTTCAATATAAGCATCGGTTCTGAATTCCTGCCGATAGTGTTCACAGTTTTATAACACCGGGTGATGGGTATTACGGAAAGTTATGCATCGTAATCATCATCAATGGATGGTTGAAATGAACTGATGATGTCATAAAATGGTCAGAACTGAATACTTGTCAAGCAGTAAGCATCACATAAGATTCTAATCACTAAATGCAATGTGTACTTGCCTAACGGTACAATTTATCCAGTTAATGTATGGAACTGTACTGAAGAGAAATTGCCCTTAAAATTGAATTAGGTGTTCAGCAAACAACACAGAGTGCGAATTTCAGAGTCCCCTAATACAGTATGTATGCAGCTGATTATGATAATAAATATTCATCCTTTCATTGAAGGAAAATTGCAATACTCATGAAACTAGTGTTATGCGTACTTTTGCCAGTATCTCAGTATAGCGGCCCTGTTAAACGTATGGAAACAGCATGCGTATGTCAGGTCCTTATTCGTGATTACTTCATATTCCAGTTCTGTGAGTCAACAGTGGTGTATTTGAAAAGAATAATTAACAGCATACGGCCAGCACAGTCAAAAGTTTGCGAACATGTCATGAAGTACAAATTAAAATGCCACCATGCACGGGAGATTCATGCAATACTCTACACAGCGAATGTAACACCATAACCCTTAGATTTGCTTCATCATTTATAGTTTCTGTTTTGAATCATGTTCCGGCCTTGAAGTTCGTTCATAAGCATCTCCAAATTGCTTAGTTCTTTCCGCACACGATAAAGTGGCAGCCATGCTTTCGCCCATCCACTAAAAGTGTCAAAGTTATCTTATGTTAAGAAAGAACATATTCTATATGAAGTTAAAGCAAATATTAAAATAAAATGGAGGCAGTTTACATTTGTGACTATAAACAGCATATCAGCGATCAACTTTTAGCCTAGTCAAGGAACACAATCATAGCACCACCTGCGGAATGGCATAAAGGTTGTAATTTCTCAGCTGTTGAGATGGTCGTGAGGACTTGCCATGAAACATGATTGAATCAGGCAAAAAGAACACAGTGAACGGAACAAGACAGGGAACATCATCTTACTCTTCTCTGCCAACTTTAGTTCTCTGCAAGCTTGATTCTGCAGCGCAATATTATATCGGCAACATCATCGAATTCGCGATTAGCAAACGAGTACCCAAATGAGCCATATTTGGGCGGAATAAATTGCTATCAACAAAATAAGCTTCCAAATTTATGCTGAAAATTGAGAGATTACAAGGATTTCTTTCATGTGCTCTCTTTAGAAATTTATTTCTAAATCACACGAGGTTTACTCTTCCAATTCATATCCATTTATTTGATATTTATGCCCAATCATTTCTTAAGCCGAATGGAAAATATAAGGTACGCAACTACCAACGAGGGCAAACACCCATTTATGTCGAATGAAGCCAGTGGTTGCATCGAAGAACTGCTAACATTACGAGGCTCGGCAAGCATACAGTGGGAAATTGGAACGCATCAGCATTCAAAGGGAAAAACCAAGGAGCTGTTGATGAGGCGGCAGGATACCAACTCGACATAGTAGCACTCTCCTCATTTAAGCGCCAAGACTCTGGAATTCTCAATCTCTGCGTGTGGAAGCTATTCTACTCATTTGTTGATATTATGCTGGTTTATGCGTGCTTTCTGAAGCTAGAGAAAGCCTATGGCCGGATCTAGCGCAAAAAACTCTGGGCATGACTGCGAACATATGGGATTGACGGTTGGTTGCTCCGGGCCATCCAATCACTGTTTTCTGATAGCAGATGCTGCGTCAGAGTTTATGGCGTTAAGTCGAAACCATTCAACATTGGCACTGGTCTACGCCAAGTTTTTTTACTGTTGCACATGGATAGAATAGTCAGGAACAACCAAGGCGATGAGAGTATCGGTTTAGGAGATGTGGAGAGGAGAAGGTTGCTCTCTGCATACGACCTTGTTTCGTTAGAATTCTTTGAAACTGATTTATAGCGCTCTCTGGAAAGGTTCACGGCCGTGTGAACGTATTTAAAGCGAAAGCATAGTGCTTTTTCGTTCTACAGTTTTTCTTCAAATGAAGGCAAAAGCAGTAGAGCAAATGGAGAAGTTCAAGTACCTCAGCGCCATGCTTTTTGGTGATAGAAGGTTCCAGGAAGATATCGATTGGCGGATTCGAGTAGCAATGGGGTTCTGCGCGTATAACCATGGAAATTTTGCCTAAAGCAGAGCTGAGTCTGAGATCTCAGCCCCCCACTCTTCAAGTCAGTCTTTATCCCCATGCTCACCTACTCTCATGAGTCGTCTGTGTGACTGAAAACTTTCGTTCCCTGGTACAAA